ATTTTCTTTATTTGTTTGAAATATGGAGGGAATTTAAGAGATTTCTAATTATTGAAGGAGTACATATACCTACCCTCCTCTCCAACAACGGCGCCCATGCAATTAAATATTATTGTGCCAGTTTTAAAATGGTTCTAAAACAACACGAAGAATAAAAAATGAAAGTGTTCCATATAAGAAAAATACCTTCAACTTAAAAACAAATAAATATTTATCTAAAATAAAATAAAGGAGCTGCTGCTAATCCTTTATTATTTTTTGAAAGTACAAAAAACCCTGCAGAATTTTATTGTTCGTTTTTAGTTTTTTTAATATCTAGTAATTTTATTTTTATAATGTCTATATTTGAGAAATGTCTCATCTATATGATACAAAGTGAGTTTCTATTAAAAATTCATCTTTTTCATTTATTTATTTAAATTTTTTTTCCCCTGCACACAATACATTAACTTTGACAATCGATTTTCCCACTTGGCAAAGAAAAATATCTTATATATATTATCATTACCGCTGATTTTTTTTTCTTAATACCTCACTGCCCACTGGGAATTCAGTTTAAAATGAAGTGAGGCGTTAATAGTTAACTGAGCAGGGAGAGGTATTTGCGTCCATTCGCCTCGAGTTCCACAGCGGAACGCCGCTTTGTTTATCTTTTGTTTAACACTGAAGTAAGAAGACATAAGGGAGCTGCGCTAATATGGTATGTACGTTTGTAACTTTTGAATGATAAACATTGCATGCGATATCGCTAATTTTAGATTCCCGGGGACAAAATTTTGAAATTTTTTGTATAGAAATTTTTTATTTAGATTTACGTGTGTACTATATACTTAAAGTATGATAGGAATACGAGAAAAAAAAGTTTATACGGATATGTTTGTAACTTTTGAATGATGAACATTGTATGTGATATCGATAATATTAGGTACTCGAATGCGTTCGAGGACAAAAATTTTTAATTTTTGATTTAGAAATTTTTTGATTTCGGTTTACGAATGTGTTCAATACTAAAACAGGATATGAATACAAAAAATAAGGAAAATTTTTTTAAAAAAAAATACGGTAGACCTTTAAAAAAATCGAAAATTGTCATTTTTTCAAAATTATATAAATTTGCTAAAATTTATTATTTTTCCATTTTTCCTGCTTTAAATTTCAACTAATGACAAAAATTAGATATAATATTGATATATAGATATTTTTCAACAAATTTAAAAATTTATTTGGCAAAAAAGGCCAAAAATTGCAATTAATTATTTTTATTTTAGCTGTGAAATACAAAATGATCGTTTAATCGACTTTTGCGTAGCCTATTCCCTAGACCTATGTATAAAAACATTCCCGCAAAACTTCAAGTCATTTGAACTAAAATTTTTTAAGAATGAAAAAAATGAAGAAATGAAGGAAGGCATTTAGAATAAAGGAAAATGGCGGAAAAATAAAATATGGGAAAAAGAACAAAAAAGACATAGTTGTACATTTCATAACTAATATTGATGTTTTTTTTAAAATCATCATAACTTCTGTTTTATTTGGCGTAGAAACAGAACAATTTTTGAGAAAGAAAGGTACCTAGTTTTATTTTACATAAGAAAAATAGAAAAAATATGATATTTTGGTCAAACATGACTCGAGAAAGGTAGTAGGACTAATTAATTTTTTTTTTATAAATTACTGTTGTATTTCTGAAAATTTCCCAATTGGTAACTAAATTTAAATCCTTGATTGACGTCTCCTATATTTTGATCAATTATACTATTTTGTCACATATATGTAGAATAAAATTTTAACCATATTTTTTACTGTATTTCACATAAAAAAATTATTAAGTAATTGAAATTTTTCAACAAAAAAAATATCTATAACAGCATATTTGTTAAGTTTCGATTTTTCTAAGTGGCAGTAAAATGTAAATTGAAAAATTAATTATAGACAAACATATTTTCATATTTTGCCGGAGCTTAGCAATCATATGAATATATGATTATCATGTATTCATATGCATGTTTAATTTATTCTTCTGTAGTGGTAGTTGAAATCATTCTTAATTAAATTAATTAATCCGAGAATAAAATAGAAAGGCAAAAGTTTTACTGTCACAAATTTTTATAAATATATAAATAGAAAACTCTTTAAACTGGAAGAAAATCCAGAAGAAATGACAGCTTAATGTATAAGATAATAGCAAAAACATAATAAAATAATAGCAAAAAATAATAATTGCAGAAAAGTTTAATATAATAATAATAGAAAAAATAATAATTATTACAAATAAGTATAATATAATAATAATTATTACAAAGAAATATAATAATAATTATTACAAATAAGTATAACATAATAATAATTTATTACAAATAAGTATAATATAACAATAGTAGCAAAATATAATAATAATTGCTAATAAGTGTGGTATAATAATAATAGCAAAACCTAATAATAATTATTACAAATAAGTATAATATTATGATAATAGCAAAAATAATGATAATTGTTGCAAAAATAAGTATAATATAATAATAATCACAAATAAGTTTATTATAAATGATAATGGGAAATAATAATAATAATTACAAATAAGTATAATAAAACAATGGAAAAAATAATAATTGTGAATAAGTATAATGTAATAAAATATAAAAGCAAAAAAGACCTAGTTTTTTATTGATTTGAATGGTAAAGTCGCTTTAGAGATGAATTGTAGTCAGAGCAATTGTTTTATTATGATATTTCTTTTTCAAAAAGCAAAATTCTTGCTAATGTTTTACTTTTTTAAAAAATTTATTTTTATTAAAAAATTATGTTATTAATTTTTGAAGAGCTTTTGCAAAATTAGCAAAGTAGTAAATATTCCGATATGGCTTGGAAACAAAATGTTGATATGAAGTAAATTGAATCCGATAGAGTTATTTCTGTAAAGTTTCTATATCAGTTTTTAATCTTAAAAGTGAGCTTAGCTTAAATGTGATTTATATTCACTTATTAAAGTAATCTATTCGTCTACAATTCTTTTACATAAATGTAAGAATAATTTTAAGAGGAAGAATATTAACTTTAAATTTCAGAAAAATGTAGTATTTCAAGTGATAATATTATTTGATAAAGAAATGTAAATTTTTATTTTATTTAAAGTAAATGTTTCGTTTTTGCAAGTTTTGTTTCATAAACTAAATTGTATGCACGGTAGCATAACCCTCTTTTTTATTTTTCTAGTAACCAATTTTTACGTTGTTGTTTCCGTGTTTATTTGAATGAGATTTAAATGTATAAATAACTAACTGACTAAGTAAATAAAAACTATTTACAGGTCGGTGAATGAACTAAGTAGAAGGAATTTTTTGTCTAACTTCGTGAAATGTGAAATAATAATGCTTTTGCTTAAGCATGCTATCAGTGATTTCTTTTTAGAGTTGAAAGTTAAGCTTGAAGAAGAAAAAAAAGATATTTCAGAAAAAACTAAGCATCTTACACCAATCTTCTCATAGTTTAAAGATGAAGAATTTTTATGATGCAAATTTAAACAAAAAGCATAATTGTTTATTTATTTAAAATAGTTTTATTATTCGTATTTGGTAAATCTGTTTTTACACATAATTCTACCAGTAGGGATCATTTTTATTGAAGCTGAATTTTATTCGTCGATCAGGTTTTCATGACGCTAACACAAGTGGCATGTCCGCACCAAGAAAATGTCACTAAGTAAAATTAAAATCATTTGCGAAAAATCATGTACCTTCGATAACATTTTGAAGTCAATAAAGGTAACCCCTAAGAACGACCAATCTCCATTAACGACCATTTTACTGTGGAACAAAGGGCGGTCGCTCCAGAGAGGTTTCACTGTTTGTTTTGTTCTATTTTGACCCAAAAATGAAGCAGTACAAAAATGTTTTCACTTCAAAAATAAAAAAATGCATGTAACTTAAACATAATTGTGTTTACAGTATTTCGTATAACATTATATAAATATAATCATACAAATTAAATAAAGGTTATATTTAATAATTTATTTTTCAATGAGAACTGATTTATTTATCAATTCAGATGTTTATACTCTCAGAAGTAAAGCTCTCATTTTCAACGAATCAGCAATTCTTGAGCAAGTATTTCATTAATTCTAAGAATCATTTCGTCTCGAAATCACGTCATTTGTGAGGAAACGCAAACTCTCTAATGTATTACGAAATGTTTCCTCAACTCTAAATCTCATCGTAGTGCATTGCGAGAGATTATTAACTGGAATGACGAAACTAGAATAAAGATTCGACAATCGAAAATGAAGTGACAAATCAAACTATCCGGTTTGTGTAGTGGTCAAGGAGTTGGTTGCGTATCTAGAAGATCCGGGGTTCGAATCCCGCTTTGAGCATGGGTGTAATTTATCTCTATGCTGTATCTGCCTTTGTTATGTTGTGTTAACCTATATGGTACTCTCTTCATTTGCCCACCTATATGGTTTCACAGTGGTTATTAGAAATGTTAGGTACATAAGGCACTTCGAGGTTATCTTTTTTGGAACAAAAATAGAATGACGAAATATTTCTCTAATTATAATGAAATTTGTTTCCTCAAGGAAGTAACGATAGTTATTTCTTCACTACGACCAATTTTTTGGATCGGACAGTATACTATAGTATTCCTATAGGAAACTGTTTCGTCAAAAACAAAGAAATTTCGTGATATTTGTGAATCCATTTTTTACAGTGTGATTAAATTAGTGGTTAAATAAGAAAATAAACGTAACCAAATGACAAATTTAATTTATTCATTTATTTTACTAAATCAGAATGAATAAAGAAACCTTTTTGCAAAAAGAATTAAGGAAAAGGAAGAAAAGGTAAGCATTTTTATTCATAAAAAAAATGACTCTGTGACTTGGACCATGTCTGTATTCATCGAAAATAGTAATTACATTAGTGTAGTAGTAATTATTTTTTTTTTGCCGAAATATCGATTTCTCTTTTTCCTATCTTATATTGATCTTCTATTCTTAACTACAGGTTATGGAAATGTCGCACCGAAGACTTCTTGGGGTAAAGTCGTCACTATCTTCTACGCAATTATAGGAATTCCACTTCTGCTTTTATGTCTATCCAATATAGGTGATTCCATGGCTCATTCTTTCAAATTCATATACTGGAAATTGTGTTGCTACTTCTGCATACGCCCTAAGAAGCGTCGCAAAAAAACTTCAAACAGACCACTCCATATATCGTATTCAGCACCTATTATACACCAAGAAAGCACAAATGGTATTTCAATGCAGCCAGGATGTGTATATCCCGGCGACAGAGACTCTCCAGCCTTAACATCAAGTGGTACTTATTATACTGCACATTCAAACTCTAATCCAACTATAAGCTCTTGTAAATCTACTCCTTGTCATCTAAATCATGCAAGGATGGACTCGAAAAATGATAAGACTTATGATGGGTTCCCGTCCATGGTGAATAGCTACGATGCGTGTAGTCCTCATATGCGCAACGTAGAATTTGCGCCGGTTATTACAAATAAATACGCTTTGCAAGAAGACGTGCATATTAACTCTGAACCATTGAGAAAACACAAGGAACTGCTATCGTCAGTACCTGCTTTGCTTACAGTGATGAGTTCATCGTATTATAAAAACTTCGGATATGGAATCAATAAATCTGCACCAACTAAAGACAGGTATGAGTATTGAATGTTTATTTGAAGAGCTTAATAATAAAAAATGTGTTTTTTAATGATATTTTAATTTCCTGATTTAGAAACATATCAGTTTAAGTAATATGGTCCTGATTTATAAGCTAGGTGTTTTTTTTAATTTTTTTTTTAAGCCTTTTACTTCTACTCTGAATTTTTTCTTTTCATCACTCAGCTGTATAATTATTATAAGAAACTCAATTCAAAACATATTTGATCCATTATTATCTATTTTACAAATTGTTTCCAGGTTTAAAATTCATTTTTTACCATTTATCAAAGGATGCCTGAAACTTTATTAGGTTCAATATTTTTTTGTCATTTCCTTTTCTTATTTTATAGGTCTATAAACCTATAGGAAAGACGATAAGCTATTAAATTACTGGCGTCTTTTTTAATAAATTCAGTTACAATGACAATTATTATTATTACAATTTGTTGATGTATTTTATAAGAAATCGTTTTTTCTTTCTTTTTTTTAGGTTTTTAAAATCATTTAGTATTTAATTATTTGTTATTATGTTCTTTATTTAAAAATCGTTTACTTTTAATTTTAGGAGCATTATTATGGATTAAAATATTCATATATATAAATTTCTTTTACTTATAAGTCAATTTTAGATTTATTTTTGTATGTATGTTTGTTTTCGAGTGTTGACTTTAAAACGTCGTGATGTGGTTATAATAGTTCGTTTAAAAAATAAAAAGCAAGGTAAAAACTTAACAACATTTATTCATTATTCTTTATAATTAAAATATTTCATTGACAAAACTACAATAAAAATTTGATTTCACATTCTTGAACTCGATATGCTCCATTTCATAATTTTTGATTAAATACGTATGCAAATTAACCGATGAAAGGCTACTAATTATTTTGATAATATTTAATGTGAAAAATTAATTGTTTTTTAGCAATCGTTTTTTTTAACACTCTTAAAGTATTAGGTTTTATGTGGAACAGTTGAACTCGCAAACCAGCAGTGCCGGAATACCCATTAGGCAAGGCCTAGGGCCCCTTTAAGATGGATTTTTTGAAAATAAATTTTAAAAAATTAAGAAAAACAATGATTTAAAAAAATCAATTTCAAATACATATGTTATGATTATTTTTTAGTTCTAATTTAACAATAAGGTAAAATTCAATTTATTATTATTTTAAATATGCTTTCTTGAATGAAAAGATATATAAATACTTTTATATTTCAATAAATAAAAAATGTACGAGAAAAAAAATTTAATCTAAGGGCCCCAAAAATTTGAATGACCTAGGGCCCTGCGTACGCTTAATCCGGCACTGCAAACCAGGGATGGTATGCAGTCAAGTTCTGAATTTATTTTGGGGGTATACATTAGCTGATATATAGTTTTCAAAAAAGAACTCTAGTAAAGGTTGAGAATCAGAGAAATATAATTCGTTATTCTTAAATTTGGTTATTTTCGATTACGTTGAAAAATTTTGACATAAAAATATTGACGCAATTGTTTACAATTTTTGCTATTTCTTTTTTTATTTTCAACTGACATTTTACTCATTAATTTCATAAAAATAACGGCACTCTTAACGAAATGAAAGTCTATTGTTTTAATATGAACATAATTACAAGTTTTTACAGAAAATTTAATCTCTCGGAATCTCTCTGACCCTACCACGGAACCTCAGAGACCCATCTCAGAAATACCATTTGACAACGCTGCTTTAAACATTTATATAGTTTTAAAATAAATATCCAAGTATTTCTGGAGAAATTTGAAGAAATATCAAAAACTGAAAGTGTCTATTGTAGGGAAGTGTGTTAACGTATGTAGATGTACTGGGATTTTCCTGAGAGATTAAATTTATCAGGGGCTATTATTTCTTTTAATATCATATTCAATGGTTTAAACTATACACAAATTTTATTGTTTGCTAAAATAGCATAACTGCAATGCACAAAAAAGCATTTTTTTTCCTAATTTATAGAGTATCCTGGAAAGAGGAGCTTCACAACAAAGAATATAACGACAACGATTCTATGAACAGCTTATCAACTCAACTAGAGGATGAAGAAGTCACAGTACCCGTATGGCTATGTTTCGCTTTAGTACTGAGCTATATTTGCGGAGGAGCAGTACTCTTCACATTTTGGGAAAAATGGAACTTTCTAGATAGTTCATACTTTTGCTTTGTGACTCTGACCACCATAGGTTTTGGAGATCTTGTTCCCGGAACTGCAGTTCTATCTGATGATAACCAGCTGACTTTGGGTCTTTGCTCGTTGTATTTGCTGTTTGGCATGGCTTTGTTGGCCATGTCCTTCAATTTAGTGCAAGAAGAAGTGACAAGATCGATGAGATGTATGGGACAAAGGATTGGCATTATTCCCATGGATGAAGATGATGACTAGCTCGTGAAATGATTCGAAGCATACTACCAAAACTATGGACTTGAGGAAAAAAAAATTTGATTAATAAAATAATATTGGTAGCTAAGTACGTATAGAGTTTGTATTTTTGAGGCCTCCCTGATAGTCTCAAACGTTTTTTATTTGAACGTTACAAATTCATCCTGTTATAATCAACTGGAAGACATTTTCAAACGTTCACATTTAAGTTGTTGGATCTCCAATCTCTTTGAAATACAAATGCTTTTTTTTTTGTGTGTTAAAGGTGAAATTTTCTAAACACGGCCTCCTTCCAAACAATAATCTTTCAAGATCTAAAAGAAACAGTTATTCACTGAAATTTCGTTAATTTACAAAATCAATTATTGATATATTTTTAAATTTAAACGAGAATAATTTATTCTACTTTGATTTTATTTTATATTTTAGTACAAATATAATTCTCATATTCTAAAAGTTTTTTTATTAACCATTTGAATGTTGTTTTTTTTTCGATTAAGAAATATACCAAAATATATTTTTACTTGTAATTAAAGCAGAAAAAAATATCGTAAAAAAATATATACAAAAGCGACATTAGTGTCCCACCTGCGTCAAGGATTAATAAAGTTATCTTGATGGCAAAAGGAATAAATATTACGATTAATTAAATTTTAGATTAAAATCAGTTGTAATAGTAACTTAAAAAGTATAGAGGCAAAATAACGTGAATGCAAGACTGATAGGAAAGGTAAAATTTAGAATGTAGTAAAAGTTAAATTTGAATATTTAATCAAGTGCGTAAATAATTGTTGCTCACTGTTATCTACATAATTACACATAAAAATTTTAAACTTTTTTTTCACTCCTTGCTATGATGTTCTTGCATCGCAGATGTAATAATTTTTGCTAAGGATATTTAAACAATAGCAAACTGTAACCTTCAAAAGATTTTAATTAAAGCATTAAACTATGAAGCTCTCATCTCAGCAAAAATTCTGTCTTAAAAATGTTAAAATAAAGTATATTATGTCTGTGGTGTTTGACTTTTAATGGAGAAAGAACAATTTTGGTAATAATAAACACTGCAGTTGACAAAAGTAAATATTCAAATAATTTTTTTCCCTTTCACAGACTGACTTTTAGTTTGTAATGGTATTGCTTAAGCTAGAATTCTCATATTTAATTACAGGAAACATTTATAACAGCAATAGCTAATTACTCGTAACAACTGATTTGTTGTAGTGGAAATATTTAATAAGCTACTAAAGTGACTTTTTAAGTTGAAGGATTGTGCAAGAATTAAATTAAAAAAAACGAAAAATATTTAAAAAAAAACTTATGACTTTTTCCTTTTTGGGAAGTTATATGGTAGCTATTGAATGATTTAACTCATTGATTTATGCATTTATTTTTATAATTAAAGCTCTAATATTGGGGTTATAGTTCACAAACAAAATACTAGAAAAAACTGGCGAGTCTACTGTGCAATAAAATATTTCACAGCTTGGAGTTTTACCATCATATAAAGTTTTCCCTAAAGGAATATCAGTAATAATCATTTGTGAACTTAAAGTATAAAAGAGAAAATGCTATATATTTAGCATAAAAAGTGAAAAATCTTAATTAATGAATCCTATTTGTGACCAATTTTTCAACAATTCAAAATCAAAATCTTCACCAGAATCAATAAAAATAAGTTATAATCTGACTTTTTTCAAATACCTGGCCTTGTATTGATAACTCTTTTATTATGCTTAGAAAAATTCTAGCATACTATCACTTTATATTTTTAGAAGATAAATCTTTCCAAAAAAAGGAAAAAAAGTTTTGAAGCTCAATGCAATTGTGCTTTCACTTAACATGGTCAAATTTATTTTGTATGTATTAGCAAGTTAAAAATAAAATTAAAAAAAAATTCTCACCATATTTTTTAAAAAAAATCCGATAATTTTTCTAAAAGTCTCATTTTATTCTTTTAATTTAAATATAGTAGAGATTAACAAATGGCACACTATATGAGTAGAGAATTTAATAATGGCACAGTACTATAACTTGGAGTGACTGTTTCAACCTCTATAAAAGAAATGCATGAATATATCATCAGTGAGATTTTTAATCTGGACAGAGCTCAAAATGTGTGTTTAAGAAAATGGATACAGCAAAGGAAAAATTGTGAATATAAAAGTTTGATCACACATTAATAGTAAAGGAAAAGACGTTTAAATTTGTTTGAAACAAAGAAATAATTTTTTTCCTGTTTATAAAAACAAATTCGTATACAACAAGTTACATACATTTGTAAACAACAAATTACAAGATTATAATTAGTTTATTAAGACAAACTGTATATAATCATAACATACAGGTACAAATATATCACAGATATCAGAAACTATCAATAGCACACATTATTTAAAAATATATTTAGATCTATCAGATGAGACATTTATAATAGAAATTTACAATATACAGTCCTATGTCTTACAATTTATATCATTTTATACTGTTATTTGCAATTAAATCTTGAAGGTATGAAGAAGCTTCGCCCATTAACAGTTCAGATAACACATCTGAGAATCCCATTTCATGAGCTAAACTGTATTTCACTTTTATATTAGAACACATAGAAAGTAGTAATTTCATATTCCGTGTTGTACTCTCATTTTTAGAAGGCAATTTCTTATATCTGCAATAAAAAATTATAAATATTCACCTAGAGGATGATGCAAAAACACAATACGTTTGGAACTAAACCCGCCTTTTTAAATAACGAAATTTTATAACCAAATATATGAGACTGAGAAGAAAATGTAATTTTAATTGCAAAAGCATACAAACTAAAAAAAAAAAAAAAAAAAAAAAAAAAAAAAAAAAAAAAAAAAAAAACAATACTAAAAAAAAAAATAATCCCAATCCAAAATAAGGGCAATTTTAATGTTTATCAAAATTAGCATGATTTTTTTTTGTATTAAATTAACTTAAAATTCTCAGATAAAATTTTCTTCTTCTGAAAATTAAAGGGTCTTTGAACTTTTGTTTACAGCTAGTACAATAAGTGGATAAGAATTAGAGGCTTCATAATGCAAGTCTTAAAGCAAAGCTTTAATTATAAATCAGGCTCTTATTTAGTGACAAAACTTGTTTCCAAAAGGTTCAAATTCAATATCCCTGTCACCTGAAACAAATTTATCGATTAATTTTTCGGCAACAAAACTCCTTTTATTATTTTTGGATAAAACTGTATATTAAGCAGTTTCTGATATTAAAATATTTTTGTTGTTTCTAGTTATTTAGATCAAGTTTATTATGGAAGATATTTTTATTAGTTGCATAATTTCCAAGAAAAAAAATTATAAAAATAATAAAATTCTTAAATATGGAATTTTGCTTAAAACAAAACTTTAATTTCCAAGTACTCAACTAGAATATTTATTTATGATAAAATTGCATTAGTGCAGAACATAAAATAAAAAATTGTTAGGCAGTTTCATTAAATATAAAAGATCAAAGTCTAACCTTTTAACAACATCTGATATTAAAGATGTTGGTAGACCGAAATGAGCTTGAAATTCAAGCAAATAATCTCTGTCTCCACGGATCACCACATTATGCAAGAGTGCCTGACTCCATAAATGATGATTACCATATTCTTCAGCCACTATGAACGCCTGAAAAAACAAACACATGAATTATCAGCATAAACTAGAAATCTTATCTTGTATTACAAACATACATTGAGAACTAAAACAAATTAAGGAAATATTTAAAATACATAATTTAAGATTAAATATAAAAAGGTTTATTTTCCTGAAAATTGAAGTTTAAAATATAATCGAAAATAAAAATTTATTTTGCTTCATAGTTGAAATGGAATGTAGATCTTTCTACCACCTTAACTATGAAGCAGAATGTTTTCTTTTTTTTTGTTTTTTTTGTTTCCTGGTATATGACTAAAACAGTACAGACATGAATTTAAAAAACAATAATTTTCTTTAAGAAATACCAGATTAATGAAATTCTTATGTACGCATAACAATTTTAAATTGATTAATGTTAATAAACTAATAAGCACTTAAAGATTTTAAAGTGTATATTATTTAAAATAATATTAAAATAATCTGGATAATACAATTAATAATCAATATATAGCTCAAATTATGACAAAATTTAAAACAATACCAATAAATCAGATCGTGTATAACAAACATGCATTAAGAATTTAATAAAAGTAAAAGAATTATTCAAAATACATAATTGAAGATTAAATATAAAACGATTTATTTCTTCAAAAACTAAAGCTGAAAATATAATTTAAATTTTTTTTTATTTTGCTTTGTAGTTAAAATGTAATAAAGACTTTTCTACCATTTCAACTATAAAGCAAAAAATCTTTTTTCATTTTCTAATATATGTCTAAAATAGTTCAGGCATGAATTTAAAAATAACTTTCTTTCAAATATACTACATTTATGAATTCTTTACATATGCAAATCAATTTTAAATTAATTAATGTTAATAAACCAGTAAGGGCTTAGAGATTTTAAAATGTACACATAACTACAATAATATAAAAATACTCTGGATGATATAATCAATAATCAAAAGCTTAATTAATGGCATAAGATTTCATAACATTACCTGAGAAAACTTATTATGATCAGTTATAAATCTTGCCACAGAAGTTTCATCAAGACCTATAATCCAAACCCCATCTGGAACAAAATAAATTTGGAGGGCAACCAATTGGGCTAACCTGGTACAATTTTGAGCTTGGTGCAAGCAATCAGCCTGCAATAAAAAATTAACAAAATTAACTATAATTTATTTTGATGTAAAAAAGAAAGAAAAAGAAAGATTTCATGATTGAATTAATTATATCTAGTACCAAAACTGAAAATATTAATTTTAATCCCCTTCTAAAATACAACCGTAATGTCTATTAATTATTGTAGATGATATTTATGTTATATAAAATATACATAATAATACATTCACAAAATTACTTGTTAGATACATGGATTTTGGATATATTTCAGTAAAAACAACAAAGATTGTTTTTCTATAACTTTAAAAAAGGACTAAAGAATTAGAAAATGATGGCAAGTACTATAAGCTACAATGATACATGGTTAAACAGGCTCAGTTAATGCAGATGTGGTCATCATGTGTTTTTTTTTATAAGATAACTGAAATTAATCATTCAAAATGACTCAATTCACTTAAAGACTCAACTACACAAAACTTTTTATAATTATTTTGTGCTGGATGTATGAAAAACAACAGACAAAGTATTCTCAAAAAATTTTTCATACATTTTGAAAACATAATATAACAGGGTGGTCACTCAAAACAGATTTCAAATTTCCCTGATTTTTCCAGGTTTTCCAGGTAAAAATCTTAAAATTTCCAGGTTTGTGTTTTTTTCCTTTTTTCTTATAAAGTGTAGGATGTGTACAAGAAAAGTGTCTGCATTAAAAAATATCTTATTCAAAATGTCATTTTTTTAAACATATCTTGAAAAAAAAAATTATTTTTTACAAGATATATTTTTATTATTTTTTAATGTTCTGGTACAACATTAATTTTTAAAAAATTAAGACGTGGAGAAAATAATTTGTTTAGCTTGCAGAATATATTGTTTTTATTGAATAATTTTAATTGTTTTTATTGAATTTAATGTGTTACTTTAAGTAGTATTTGCTCAAAGTGTACCTACAAAATCACAAAATCAGAATAACCAATAAAACCTTGGATAAGTATTGTTTAATATATTTTCATTAAGGAAAAGAAAACCGTTTCAGGTGATTATATATCAATAATTTTTAATAATTACAGTGGCTCCCAAAAGTGCTCACTCACTTATAACTTATATTGAAATAGGAAATAAAAATTCAATAATTAAAATGAATATTTCACAATGGGTATTTGATAATAAGATGTATAATCTATTCTTAGCAAAACTGCACGGAATATTTTAAAAACAAAGCAAAAGTTAATTTTTTAATCAAATAGTAACAAAAATGTTACCCCACGAAAGTCATCGTACATTTAAATGTTTTGGATCTCAGAATTAAAATTATCGTCAATTGCTTTTTTTATTTAATTATTTTTCATTTAATTTTTTATTTCTTTATTAGCAATTTAGTATCAAACCTATAATAGCAAAATTATATTTTAATTTTTGCTTGCTAACTCCGTAATATTTTATTTTATCATTTAAAAATGACTTGTGGTCGTAATAAAATAGACCAAATTTGATTATTTGTCTTCATAAGAGGTAAATCAGTAATGAATATGTTAAATTAGTTTACTGTATTCAATTGAACTGTGCAATATGTGATAAAATGCTTAAAAGAAGGACTTCATATCAGAGATTAAAATTATAAATTTTGTGGAAAAATTCATAAATTTGCAATTGAGTGTTGTAAAAGTTTCTGTAAAAATTTTAAAAAAATATTCTGCACGAATTTCACCTGACAAAAAAAAAACTAGTTACACGTATTTTCAACCTTTAAAAGCTATTGTAGATGCTAAAGGAAACTCCACTAAATGTTAATTTAACGAAAAATTAGATTTACTAATAGACTGAGTTTTTTCTTTAAAAGTGTATGATGACTTTTGTGGGATAAAGTTTTTGTCACTTTTTGATGATTGATTCCTTAAAAATAAACTTTTCCTTTGTTTTTAAAATATTTCATATTGTCATTTAAAATATTTCAGTTTTGTTAAGATTAGAACACATTTTTTATCATTAAATATACATTCTGAAACATTCATTTTAATTAATGGATAGTCTTATTTCATTGAAAGTCATAAGTGTATCAACACTTTTGTGAATCACTGTAATTACAATTCAATATAAAGCTGTACTGTATACTGCATTATACTGTATTTCATCTTACCAGTGCTTTTTATAAAATTCACTGATCATATTTTCCTTAAACCAATATCTCAAGTCAAATTTTTAAATAATGGTATTTTGAAATAGCATTTTTATTTTAAGAGATTCAGTATAAAAAAATAAATGTCAGAAATGTAAAATTGTCTAATTTTTAGTTCTATACTCTATAGAAGAAAAAAAATAGATAAAATTCCTTAAAATTTATACTTTTTTGATTTTTTTTCTTATTTGAAATTAAAACATTTAAAGAATTCCAATCTAAACACACAGTTTTTTAGTTTAGCATAGTTAATTGTTTTTGTTTGAACAACTGGAATCTTGTACAGTGCAGAACTAAAACACTAAGTTTCGTTTTCCTTCTCCTGACTAAACACATATGAATAAAAAAAATTATATTTTATGTATATACATCATTTAATATGTTTCCTATATATTCCTTAGTCATTGTCAGCTTTTTTAGGTAAAAAGAGGAATAGTTTTGAAATATCATCTCTGGAATGCAAGCAACATTTACGAACTTTCGATATTGTGATAACTATACAATTCGAATTTTGAATCAAAAAACTAATATTTACCAACAAAACCGTAAAATTTGATATTAATATATAGTTAGTTCTAAAAAAAACTTTTTTCAAAATAAAAATATACTATAAAAGGTTAAAATGAAATAGAAAAAATTAGCATTAATGCAAGAATTGTAACAATTTGTCGACAAACATTGCTGTTAGTGATGGGGGAAAATGCGTGATTGGTTGGTTTGCTGAGAAAAAATAATTTACAGATTTCTTTGAATGGGAGTTCAAAAGCTTTCAGAAAAAGAGTGCAATATAAAATCTATTATTATTAAATTATAACCAACTAATTTTTAGAGAATTTAATAAAGTTAAAAATACAAAAACATTTTGACTCATTTTGTCAAAATAGAAAAAAATTACCACTCTCAATTGCGAACAAACTTGAATCATTGTGTGAACACGGACAGAATTTAAAAACCGAATCCTAACCCCGTCTTCCACATCCACCATAATCTTTGCCTTTCCTAAATTGCACAGTCTGCATAGAGATCAAAGGTTTCTACATTTGCATGGGAGAATTTTATGTTGTATTCTAGTTTAACAGGGTTATAATGGAGCAAATTTTGATGAAAGCAAAGTAAGTTGATGATATTTTAACTGTTTGGAGATACATTTCCGTCTAAAAAATGTGGGTATAATGGATGAAACAATTTAAATTAAGAAAATTAGCAAATAATTTAAATTAGTGAAATTAAAAAAATATATAAGAAAAAATTTCCAGCTTTTCTTTAAAATTTCCAGGTTTTTATCCATATTTCCCTGATTTTTCCAGGTTTTTTCCAGTATAAAAAAAATTCCCTGATAATTCCAGGTTTTCAAGGTTTTCCAGGTGGGTGGCCACCCTGTATAATGCATAAAAATGAAAGAAAGATGATATATAATAAATATCAGTAAGAACTTAAGATAATTGCAAAATATATAATTAAAAAAAAAAATTGTATGAATTACAAGAAACAATGGAAAAAATTAGTTAATCTCATAGAACAACAAAATTTGTTAAACAATTATCAAAAAATGTATAACAGCCTTTGTCAACTATTTATTTTGAAGTATTTTTAATCTGAAAAAAATTAAAAGCATGAAAAAAACAATTAACAAAGTGTAATAAATAAACATAAAAAATGACATAATTTAATGGTATTTTTTCTGTTGTATCTGTTCACAAAATACCTTTCCAAAGTTCCAAACTTTAAAAAAGATTCTTCACAAAACTCCAAGATTAAAAAATGACACTTCACAAATTTCTAAAATGGACTTTTCATAAAATACTAAACTTTGAAAATAATTTTAGCTCAAAACTCATTTTTTTAAATTAAGTTTCATTAATATTCCATTTTGTTGCCATTCTTACAAGTCAAAAATCAATTTTTATGTTCATAGAAATTTGTATTTTTGTAAAAATTGAAATATAAATAAAAACTGATCAGAAAATTTAAAGAAAAAATTGAAGTAATATTTCCAACAATTGATTCCAATAATTGATAAGTTAGTTTGCTTTAATTTCTCTGTATTTCAATATTCATATAGTCTTAGACATATGTGGTTCTTGTAAAAATACATATTTTGTAGAAATAAGAACCACATTTGGTGAAATTAATTTTGGCAAAATTTCTTAAAAATTTTCCTTATCATTCTTTAAAATTTCCACAAAATTATAAATGCAGGACCCTAGTAAAATAAACCTGGATTGACATACGCTTTTTATAAGAAGTTAAATTTTCAGAAACATAAAAATTTGAAAAACAATATCGCCTACAAGAAAGAAATATAATAAATTTCCTTTCAATATTACCATGCAATAACTCTTTGCTGCGTCAGACAGAATTTGAAGAGCATTTTCTAATTCATCTTTCATATCACTATCAAGAGCTAAAAATATGAAAAAGCACACAAGTTTTTTTACAATCAAGTAATTTATTGAAATTACATATTCAAATGCAATAAATATTGTTTACAGAAACTTAATTTATTTTACCAATTGAACTGAAAGTTATTAAAAATTATAAAATATACGAAAAACCAAAACTGAAGTAGTTATGTAATCAACTTTCTTCTATGCATCAATTATTTCATTAGTTTTGTAAATTACACAAAATTATTAAGCAACATATGATGCTAATAAGTAATTGGTCTTAAATTGCTTATTATCAAATAAAATAAAAATAATTTTTTAAAGAATAGCATGGTTGAACTATAGAATAAAATTCTAAATTAATTATAAACAATTCTTAAAACCAAAACATCATGAAACGTTAAAATTTCTTTTTCTTTAAAAACAATTCATAAATACTTATGGGAAAGATTTTTTACAATCTCTAGAAACTTAATGTTAAAATAAAATAAAAGTTTCCAATATCACTTGCTGCCAGTAGAATATACATTCTACTGAACTAAGAAGATTTAATTAAAAAGTGCTCCTGGTAAAAAAAAAATATCAAATGTATAAATTAACCAAATAATTATAATTGATTAGAATTGAAAGATCTAGTGATACATATTTGAAGCTACATATAAAAATAATAACTTACCACTATTTTTTTTACACAATTGTGATAAGAGTTTCTGCACTGACATTTCAAGAATTTCAGCCTTCTCACGATGCATGCCAAATCTGTTGGCAAGTGTATAAAAATAGTTGTCATTCTCAGATGGTGGATATTTCTTCAAGTAATCTAGTAATGCTAGTCTAAGATTTGGCATCTAAAAATACAAAATAACAAAACAACAATTGGGTATTTGCAACTTGAGAAGAAGTGAAGTGATTATGCCTAACCATGTAATTTAAATCAGATTTATTTGGATACCTGTAAGCAACGTCATGCGTGTGTGCCGAACTTGATTGGCTTCTGAATCAACAAATGCCACAATTTACTCATGATGACGTCACTTGCAGACATCCATTTGTTTAAAAAATAGAATTAATTTCACGATCATACGACAAGAAAATTATTGTCTTAAATTAAAATATCTATGCATCTGAGACTTAATTTATTTAAATTTAATTTGATTTATTAATATTAATTTTGCGCAGATTTCATTTTGAAAACTGTATCTTTTTGAATATGCATAATTAGAATAATAAAAAAAAACTTACATTGTCCATTTTCTTTTCGAAAAGAATACTGAATTTATCATGTGATTTCAAAATGTCAAAAACATACATCATTTCACTGTATCTGTCTAAGCCTGTCAATAAATGAACCTAAAAGTACAAAAATACATTTTTGTCATTCCAAAAATTTACACAATGACATAATTAAAAATCCATAATAAATTTTTTCTATGAAACAAAGATATATTTCTCTTATTTCACAACTTAACAAAGAGACATAATTTTAAATCAATAATGTAATAAAAATAATTTAGTAAATATGAAGCATGTTCAGATTGTAAGGAAAAATTCAAAATTCCCTGCATTTTCCTTTTATATTCGATGAATTTTAAATTATTTTGCAGGTTTTCCTTGTTCTCTCTGCAGAGTAGTAACTCTAAAAATCTACCGTAAATGATAAATTTGTAATAAAAAATTAAATCATTTGTTTACTATGCTTAATACAAGTTCAATACATTTTTGTAAAATGAAATAAGGCATTATGTTTGAATAAAAGAATACCACTAGAGCAGAGAATAAGCAGCACATAATTTTTTTTATCAACAAATTTAATGCAGCAAATTCCCTTACTTTTCATCAAAATATTTTAGTTTGCTGATTCTTGTATTAAAAGTTTAATAATTGCTTTTCTAAACTAAAATATTATAAGTTGAAATGAATCCAGGAAGAAAAAAACCCAGCTGACATTTTATCACTACTTGCATTATGATATTAATTGAAATATGCTTACAGAGAATAAATTATCTCTGGAACAGTCCATTGTAAGACAGAGAATCATGTAGGCTACAACTCTTCAATTTTTTGAGTTGTGCTCAAAATTACAAGGCTATGGAGTTGAAAGTCATAAACTCACACTTGGGTGGACTGTTCAACAAGAGTAATAAAAAAAACAAGTGTATAGACATTAAATACTTGTTGATTGAGTATGTTTTATAATATAAGTAGGCCTTGATATTTACATATAATAAGAAAAAGTTCTTAATTTTATTGATAACAGAAAAAAATTCAGTGATTATAAAACAAAATAGATTTGGCTACCATTGTGGAAAATTTTTCAGCCTCTTCAAGCAAAGTTACTAAAGTTTGTGCATTATGAAGAATTTGAGATATTCCATCCATATTGCATGCTGCTGTAAAGCATTCGTGAGCACAAATACAAAGATCTACCAAAACTGTGAAATCTAGAAAAATAAACAAAATATAAAATAAATAGGCACAAAATATTAAAATGAACATATTTTAAAACTCCAACTTTTTAGAAAATAGTTTCTAAGTAACCTTAGTTTAAAGAAAACAAATTAATGATGAAAGCAATAAATTTATGAATAAGATTAATTTTAAAGTTGAAATAAGTTTTACAAATGTGAATTTTGGTAAATGTATTTATTTTCTTACAATTGGCTTATCTAGGCTTTCACATTTTTAACAAAAACATGGCTTACTTTTTTGAATGAAAAACTCTCATTTTTAGAAATTCAATAATTTGTGTATTTTTTAAAATGCCAATGTTGAGAAGTCATGAAGCATTTTCACAAAAGAATATGAGATATATATATATATATATATACTGAATAAATATTTTGACACAAAGAACTAAAATTTATTGGGAAATAATACCTTTGTCAAAAACTTTCCAGCTATCCTAACCTATGAAAGATTTTTACATCTTCACAGCAAAGACTACTACACTATGCTAATGTGTTCCCCCTAATGCTTTCAAATCTTCCTTCATTCATACGAATACTAATTGCAATTCTCTGACATGAGTTCCTCACCAACTCTAAATAGTGCTTGGAAATGCATCATGTTATGATTGGTCTGTTAGCTAACACAGTATTTTTAGCTTTGTTTTTCAAGTTTATGTCATTAATTATTGTTTTGTTGAAAACTTTGCAGTTTCCTTTTTAAATTTGTTTTGTTTTCTTTTTTTCATTCACATCTAGCGAGCCTTGAAGGTGAGTGCTAAAAACATTTTAATTTTCCTTAGCTTTATAATTTGTGAAACAAATGAAAAATGCTTATTTTAAAATAGGACTGATAGGTTCTGAATTGTTCCTTGAATTAATTGTTTAGAATAATAATAACATTTCCCGCAAGTTAATATGTAAGTAGTAAAAATTCAAAACCTATAAATAAAATTACACATACCTGCATCGCTGCTTTTATAATTCAGTTCAGCAGATTCAGTTGAATAGATTGACATTAGAGAATAGCCAAGTACGGATGGATTTTGGCAAAGTTTTACAATCAGCTGGAAGCCTTCATTTGCTCTCAATGGATCATAGATTACCTGTTCTGAAAATGCACTTTCATCTTCAGGGATCTTTACTGTTTCAAAGGAGATAAAATTACATTTACTTTTTAAAAGAAATTGAAATACTGTAAAAAAAATTTTTTTAAACAAAAATGCATAATATTGGAAAAAGTTGTTAGAGTGCATTTTTAGTAATAAGTGAGTACAAATTAATTATGCCAAAAAGACCATGAAAAATACTTATTATTAAAACAGGCATAATTAAATTTTTATTTAATTTGCTTAAAATAAAATACTATTTTGCTTTAAAATAAAAATTGAGCTCGGTTTGATTGCTATGGTTAATGAATTGTTAACTAGATTAATCTGGACATTATGAAAGTCACTTTCTTGAACAAATCTATATTTTTTTTTCTCAATTTTTTTCCTAAATATTTACGTATGTCTGAACAAATGCTATTTGAAACTATTTTATTTAATTACTTAAGCTTCATATTTGCTATCTAATCTAGTGAATTCAATTCAACTCACATAATTTTTAGTATTAAAAGTTAAGAAATTTTATCGAAAAAATTAAAAATTAGGAAAAAGAAAAAGATTAAGTTAAAATCAATTCGTGTTTATGCCAGTGATTTTTATGGTACTGAATCAGATTCAATGATAGAAAGTTCTGAGGATGGATTAAAAAGTAGATAAAAGGAAGATAGAGTCAGAAATAAATATCTTCTTCTAAGCGTAAATAGGTGTTAAGGGTGTAGCAGAGAAAGAATGTCTGTCGCGTAAAAAAGAAAAGCGGTGAATAGTTCATAAATGATCAATATAGCAGAATATCATGTTCTGGAACTTCCCTTTTACAGTTGCTATAATAAAAAAAAAGAAAAATGCACTTTCTCTCAAAGTTGTACTGATGCGATTTTTCCATGAATGTAACTCTATTTGTATCTTTCGAATTAATTCATCAACAGTACCTTTCAAACCACTTATAATGATAAAATTCCTTTTAAACATTAAAATTATCTTCATATTTTTATTAGTGTAACATTGAGTTGTGCTTTTAAATTTCAAATATAAATTCTGAACAAAGTAAATATTGCCGTTTCATAAAATCAAGAAGATTGCACCGCTTAATAATATAGAAATTTTAAGAAAAAAAGCTATACATACCTAAATCATAACTACGGAGTATCTTTAAAGAGTTCCAAATTTCTTCACTTAAAAACTCAGCTACCTCTTTATCACTCAAGTCCCGAACAACTATAAAACTCTTCGCTATCACGAGTTCATCATTCAGCTTCAAAACAAGGATTTTCTTCAAAATTGAAAATGCATTCTTTTCTTGAGCAACGTTAATGAAATCTTCTTTTAAAATCTATCAAAAAATTACCCATGTATCACTAACTTTATTTAAATTTACAAAAATATTTGCTAAGAGCACAAATATTTCAAATTTGAATCATTTTATAACTAAAAACCAATGAAAAATATTATAGTCTCTTATTAATTTTATTAACAAAAACAAATAAATCATAACTGTCAATCAGTTACTGATAGAAATAAAATAGGTTGCCACTTACCAATGAGACAATATAATGCACCAATATACGATAACAAATTTTGACAGCGATTATACATTTAAGGCTCAAATCTTTTATGCACTGAATAATACTCTTTTGCAATGGTGTTAAATCTACAAATCAAAAATTTTTTATTAACATAAATTAACACATTGATTCATTTGACATGCATATAATTATGAAATAACTTCCAGTGTTTTAAGTCTTATTAGTAGAAATATGCTAAATTGACGTTTTGTAAACATTTATAAAATAATGTCAACTGTTTAAAGTCTTAACGTAAGAAATTTTTGATGAGCAATTACATTTTGAAGGTATAAAACCATGGGATTAGATGCTAGATACATTTTATATAATCAAAAAAAAAACATAAAAAGTAGAAGAAATGAAAGGTGCTTTAAAATTTTGTAAAAGTTTTTTTAAATGAGAGAATAGGCTTTGTTTCGATCCTTTGGTATTAAATTATTTTTAAACTCCTTACAATTTCTTTAAAGAAAAAATTACTTTTAGTTTTCTTTACTTTGAGGGGCGTAAGTTTGTATTTTTAATTCTAGAATATAGTTTCTCGTGACTTAGAATAACTCTATGAAGCATGAGTTAATTTGATCCAATGCATTTCTAATAACAAATATTCTAAGACAATAGCTTATTTTATTATCAACCTGCATTATTAAAAAAAAGAAAGAAATAATGTACCTGTACTTTTTTTGTTAACCCAAAGAATCAGTGACTGAATTACTCTAGTTGAAGCTATGTCATTGGAGCAGTCAGGCATTGATCTGTCCACAGAATCAATGTTTATTTCACCTTTTGCTACTTCAAAGCATAACTATAAAATAAAATTATGATATTAAAAAAAAATTATTTTGTGATTAATTATCTGAAAACAAAAATGAATGTAACACAATGAAAAGAAGGCATAAAATCTTGAAACGAAACCTTAACTTCAGATGAAATCATAATGAATTTAACCTTAGAAACCTTGAAATGAAGCCTTAATAAATTTAACCTTAGAAACCTTGAAATGAAACTTTAATGAATTTAACCTTAGATAATTAAACAATGGTCAAATAGACTACAAACATTTATAAGTTTTGTGGGGTTCCAGATGTTAAGGTAAAACTTTGAAATCTTTAAAGATTGTGAACGGTAAATTTTGTCATTTATCTTTATTTTTGCAATTCTGCTGTTTTTTAGAATTAAACTTTTTTACAACCTTCTGGTTGGGGGCAGGGGGCCTTGCCTTGTGGTGGCGTGCTGCACACACATCTATCTTGCAGGTCTTAGAGTCCAAGTCTCACGTCTCCCTTGCCATAAACGATGACGTGTTGCCTTTCTCCAATGTCAAGCCATCCCTTGTGTCACTCTCATTTCTGTGTAGCTACGAGCGGGCACTTCGAGTCGTCAGTCCGGAATGCCAGGATGGGGTTAAGCTACGCTTATCCTTATTTTAATAAAAATTACAGAGTATTCCCTTTAAGACACACTAATTTATTGAACCTAAAGATTTCTGCTGATGACCTGATTTATTATAAGCATTTTTTTAGAGAAATTACAGCTTAATTTCCAATAAATATTTTAACAGGAATGCAATGAAGTATGAATGTTACATATTTATGTATATTCAAAGAAGTACAGATTCACAATCAGACTCATGATCAAAAAAATTTCTTATTTCTTCCATTCAGATTTAATTACAATAAAAGTATTCACAAAAATTAAATTAATAAAATATTTTTATTAAAAACATCAAATCTGGTTTTCAAAAAAAAACTTTTGGCTTAAATTGGGCTCTGAATTGAAGCAGGTAGGAAGCTGTAGATTGAAGTAGGTGGAAGCAGTTAGCGAAAATTGGAAAACGTTATTACATCGCAGATGAGGTTTTAAAAGTTTAGGGTTTAAAATCAAAGTTAACTAATGATTTAAGTGAATCGATTAAGTGACTCATTAAAATAGCCATTTTAGCAGTCATAAATTAACCAGTTTAAAAAAAAAAAGGAAATACTTCTAATTATGACATTCAAGTATAATATTGCATTGTAATACATTAGTACTATAATTAATACAATAATAATATGCTACAATAACACTATCTGTAATACTTAAATATAATAGTATTATTGAGTAAAACAAATTAACCCCATGAAGCAGAGAAATAATTACAATTACTGCTTAACATTTAATGCAAATTATTTGCAGAAACAAAAATTTAAAAAAAATTAATAAACACAATATACCTTAATAATTTTTAAATCTAAACTATCGTATCCAAAAGTCAAAGCTAGTTGAAATGCACTATGTATATCACTTTTACTCAAAAAGCGTCCAATGATAGATCCCAATGCTTCTTTTTCCTGCAGCAAATAAAATCAATAAAAATACATAGCATAAGAAACAAAAGAAAATACATAAAGAATATATTTTAAACTAATCATCCAATACATAAATTTCCGCAGCAATAACTTGATACAATTTAAATCAATTCATATTAATTATAGTAATCTTATAAACACATCAATAATGAAAATTTTTATTTCAACATCAAAATCATTACTACTAATAAGAATAAATATAAAAACTGATTCAAACTCAATTCTCAACTTTCAGCTCCAATTATTCAATATTATTTTAATCAATTAAAAATCCATTTAAGATCGAATTCAAGATATGTTTGCTTTTTCTAATGCTGCTAAGTCAACATTTCTTTCAGAATTATTATTATATATTACAATCATGGAAGTATTAAATATTGAAGAAATAAAGTATAGTTTATTAAGTTTTAAAGTAACATTGATTTAAAAATTTCAGAAAATGTTAAGAGACTTTAAATGATTTTTAATAAATTTTTTAAAAGTAATGTTTGAATTAGTAAAGTAACACAGAAAATTCTTTAAACTAATTTAAACTGTTAACTGTTTATTATTTTTTAAAGTAACATAATTCAATTTTAGAAAATGTTAAAGATTTAAAATGATTTTCAATAATTTTTCAACGAAATATTTAAACGAAATGTTTCAATTAATAACGTAACACAGAATATTCTTTAAACTAATTTTAACTGTTATAATTCTAATAACATGAGAAAAAATTAGTTTACTTTTTCATCTTCAATACAACAAGGATTAGGTTGTACTTTTTTAGAGAAAAAGATTTCTTGAATGTTCAATTCAAATACAGCTTTGACATCGAATATCTCTGGCAATAACTGAAAAATATAAACAAACACCTGAGTTTAAAGTTATTTCAAATATAGTTTATTAATTTTTCCTTATACTGGACACTACAAAGTATACTTCACACTAATGTTATGCAGTTAAAAATAGACTTTAAAATCAAATCAAAATTATGCACTTAATAAAACAATCAAAATTATAGATTTAATAAGAAAAATAAAAACTTATAAACATTAATTTAGTTATAAAAATTCATTAGTTACATATTTTTACAGCAATACTCTCTTTTGGACTCAGTTAAAATTACTCATTTTGATTTAAGTATAAACAGCAATTGCTCAGTGATTAAAAGTATTGAGTTATCATTGTAAAGGGATAGGGCTCGATCCTTAGTGATGGCTTGAAGCACGGCCAGCATGTCTGGAAAGTAAAGGAGGCGTTGTGCACGATGCTTACTACAATTATGATGTGGTCACAGATGTCTGAAGATTTAACTACCATGATCTGTCCTGTAAAAGGCTATTGTGACCACTCTATCACTGCATCCCCCATATTTTCAAGGGTCAAGAATTAAAATTCAACTGAAAAAAGAAAGCTAATTAAAAAAAAAATTAAAAAATTTTGTGTCTTACTTAAAACATTGTTTGAACAAATTATTTGGCATAATTAAAGTTAGAACCTTGAGTCATTAAGACTGAAACCTGGCATATAAAAAGAAAACCATTAGATCAAAAGGTATTTATCAAAAGATATGCTTTGCACATTGTATTTTTTTGACACATTAACTTTTAAAAATAAAAATATTCAGCATTTTCTACATAATATTGCTTTTCAAAAATAGGAGGCATAGTCTGAATCAGAAAAAAATCTGAATTAGAAAACAATATATCTGAAATACAAAATCTGAATTAGAAAACAATGATCTGAATCAGAAAACAATTTCAAATTTATTGAAATAAGTGAGCAAAATTGAATCCTACAGTAGTATAATTCCTCTACTTAGAGAATAAATAATAAGGAAACCTTTTAATGAAAAAAGTAAAATGAAGAAATTACCTCATTGTTAACTTCAGCTTTAATACAAAACCACCACATCTTCTTATTTAATGAATCTAAGTTGTATATAGTTCCATCAGTTGATCCCTGGATCAAATTATCTTTAATCATGTCAATTATAGACTTAATCAAAAAATATTTCTCCCCGTGCATGTCAGATATTTCACATTGAACCTAAAAAATGGTACAGAATGTAAAAAAACAATAACAGTGAAAGTTAAAACATTAAATTAAATATATAAATTGAGCAATTTAACAGTTCAAACTAGCCTAAAATAAATATTCTACATCCTAATTAAAAACTTTAAATTAAATAAATTTAGAAATTGTAAGAATTATAAATTTAGAAATTGTAAGTACATTAAGCACATCATAACTTTTTTATCTTTTAAAAAGATTGAAATTACAAATACAGTTTTACTTATAGAACACATTTACAAATTTTGCAACCAAGTAAGAGAGCTTACAGAGGGCAAAACATCGTCACGCTGTTAAATCTTTCTGAGAATTGAAACACAGAATATCTTTTCTTTCTAACTTCACTGCTCTGTTATTAAAGCACCAGCTTGTTTTCATAAAAGAAATTGTCTGCTTCTTATATTATATCTAATATGTTACAATAAAAATTTACAAGAGGGCTCTGCCCTCAGCTGGCTAATGCTTGATTTTTGATATTTCTGCACCTTCAGAATTCTGAGTGTATGCAGATCCAGTGCAAATTATATTTTTACTTAATGTTTTCACCGCCAAAATGATGAAATTCTTATTAAAATAATTTTTGCCATTATACAAGATTTTATTAATTTTGAAATATTTTACTGTTTTTGACACAAAAGATAAATAAACAATAGTGCAATTAAATGAAAAACAAAGTGGCAAAAAAACTTAAATAAGAATTAGCATATTTTTAAAAGAAATAAGTTATTTAAAACATAAACAAATAATTTACTAGCAGCAATAGCTTTTAAACAGTAAAGCAAAAATTGTTATAGAATTAAAAACTAAATTATTAAAAACTAAATTATTAAAAAAAAAATATCTGAAGTAATTAAAAACCTAGTGTGAAACATATCATGAAAAAGTGACAAATTTAATAAAGAATCGCTAATTAAAACAAATATATGATTATAATTATTTGCAATGCACTACTTGTCTTACATTGTCTATTTCCATTCTCTGTGGAATAAACGTGCTATATTACAAAGGTAATAAGCAATTTAAATTATTAATAATATGTGTTTATATATAATAGCAACTTACATTTGTACACTGGTAATGATCATGATAACAAAATAGAAAGGTAAATTATACACACAAATATATATCAAGTTAACCATAGAAAAGAAATCCTTAATTCAAAAACTCTGCCATTATGAATAAAAATTCCTCACCTCTAGAAAATCCACAGCAGTGTGAAGACTTAAAACTTGTAGTTTTAGAATTAAGTTCTGCCAGAAATGAATACGAATATGCAAATCCTGCCAAGAAGGACTTACACGAGCTTCATCAGTTTCTTGATTAATCTATATAAAACCGAAACGTTTAAATTATAATAAAAAAGACAATTTACACACATATAAAGTTGGAATATTACTATAAAAATATTCAAAACATTGAATTAGTTATTTAAATGACAACCAATAAAACAAAACCTGAGGAAATCAAACTGCGTTAACTATCTAAGTAAGTAAAATATTTTGAATTGCAGTGTTAGTTAAACAGAACTATTAATACAAAAGTAAGCATAATTTAGTTTAAGTAAACCATAATATTTTATAGCTACTAGGTGCTTAGTTTCAAATCTAGATTAATATGCTTTTTCTTTGTTGCAATTTTCAGATTATTATCATTATTTAATAACATAAATGGAGTTAAATACTACTCCTTGTGTCATGTGCAGCATTTCTAGTAACATATGGAATAATATAAGGAATGAAAGTGGAAATAGAAAAGAAAAGACGAAAAAAATCATGAACTTTTCTTACAAAAAATCATTTTATAAAACAAGTTGAGAGATGCATGAGAAATTAAACACCACGCTACTTAACTTTTTCTTCTTCCCTTCAAAAAAAATGAAGGAAAAAAAACACATTTAAATAGTTGGTAATAAGAAGCAAATAAATTAAATTTGAAATTCTGGCAGTTATTTTTGATTTCTAAGAGCACTGAATTTTCACGTCCTTCGCCTAGGAAGATGCCGGAAGTATTACTCATTTAACGTTACCCAGTGGGCACCTGTGAACCTCAATCAAGGAGGCGAGCAACATTACCCACGCTACACTATCACAGATACCCGTTTATAGAGTGGGCCACATTCACACATCCCACAATAGAGAACAACACAGAGAGAAACATTCATGCCCTGAGCGGGATTCGATTCCGCAGCCATTGGCTTCGCAGTCAGGCACACTAACCGCTCGACCATCTGGCCGGCTAAGAAATAACATAAAATTGACTTAATTAAAAATAAATATATCTATGTACCTGAAGCATTAACATTTGATCTTGTGGAAGTTTGGCGTGTTCAGAAAAAAGTTGAGCGTCTTCATATGAATGATGCTGCAGCAGTTTTGTAATTGCTTCCCAACAAGTTGCTTTATACTGCCTGTCATGTTCAGGTAAAAAGAGATTCTTTACATCTATGTCTTGGGCAACATCTCCAAGGCACTGCCTCATGTGGTAAACTTTTATAAACTGTGGCACCACAACTAAAATAATAATATTGTGTAAGTGGTAAAGGTTTTTCAATTTGTATTTTAATGTTATTTAAACATTTTTACACCCACATAATAGTTAATGTCATTTAAACTTTGTTTGAAACACTTATAATTAAACTTTAAATAAAGCATGTACATTTAAAAAAAAATTATTTTCTACGATTATATAGAGTAAAACTCAAAAATGATTTAATGAATCCTACAATAGATTAAAAAAATAACAGCACAAATATAATAACAATAGTCACCATAATAATTAACATAATGTTTAAAAAATTGTTAAAAAAATAAATGTTTAAAAAACTTTAAGAATTAAACAATGCAATAAAAACATATTTAAAAGCTAAAAATGCAAAGCATTGCTGCAACAACCTGTTCTGGGCTAGGGGGTCGTAGAGATTAAAACCCCACAATTTCGTGACCAACAGCATGATTGCGGTTATGTGGTCAGCATTGTGCACAGGCCTGCATTATTTCCTAGACACAAGCTGACACTCATTGCTGGGTAGGCTTTAATCCCAGAGGGGGTAAACCAGAGTTCTTATTTAAAAGGTAGGACACATAAAAAGCTTAGAGAAGCAATATCACAAATTTTTTTTTACATGTTTATGTTTTTATTTATTTATTTATAGAAAGTTTTTTTTTTTAAAAAAAACCCTACATTTTAAAACCCTATCTTGTTTTCTGAGATATATAATTTCTACTTTAAGTTTAAAAAATATTAAATTTGTAAATATAGAATTTAAATGTGGAGATTTGTATGATTAAAAAATAAATTTCTTTACAACTTCAAAAGTAAGAGTGCTAAATTCTTTTTACAAGCACTGTCAATAATTTTGTAGTGATTATTTCAATAACTTATACAAAAAGTAAGAACGTGTGTAAAGTAAGAGTTACCTTCTTTAGAAAAAGATTTTTCCAATCTAGTGTGTGAGAAATGGCGAAGCAACAGTTGTCTCTCATAGTTAGAGGAACATGAAATAACAACCTCTTTTAAAATTGTCACTGATATGTTTTCAATCCAAAATAGAGAATGCAAAACTGATGACTTTTCTGTGTTCTTGGGATACTGAAAACATAATAATAGTTAATCGTTTATAAGTCTACACGTTCATTTACCATTCTATTTACACTACCAAAGATTTAGGCTGTGATTAAGTAACTCTCACAAGTGTGGTTTAGAATCTCACATGTTCTTAATTAACTTGAGGATTACAAAAAACCTTTTTTTCTCAAAATTTTAAAATCCATTCCATGATTATGCAAGGTACTCCAAAGGGATCTTACCCCTGGGTGATTAATGGGGTTAGCTTGCTTTTCAGAATGTTGATGGGTAGAAGATAATTTGAAATATGTCCAAGAACATGTAGCAAATGACATAAGGGTCTAAAAACTGCCAACTTCAGTGAAGGGAAAGTCCTTAGTCTTACTATAACATGTATTTAAAAATATGTTTAAAATAAACTCATAACAAATTTTAATGTAATAATAGGTTTCTAAATATAGAGAAATTAGACATATTTTTAACGAAAATTATTTCTATTAAAAAATAGGAGAAAATAATTGTAAATTATAATAGAAACAAGCTAAAAATAAACTAGGAAATATTGAAAACATTTATATTCATATATGTATTTTTATATGTTATCTAAATGAAAATATGCTTAAAAGAAACTCATAACACAATTTAATGTAATAATAGGTTTCTAAATATAGTGCAACCAAAATAAAAGTTGATGAAAATCTGATATTTAAATTGGATATTGAAAATTAATTGGAAGCAATATAATACGATAGATATTACTAAAAAAACTGAATTATACAATGCATACGTAAAAATAAGTATACATTATTTAATTTGACTGAATTAACAAACGCATACTTAAAAGTAGTGATTAAAAATATATAAACATTAAGAATAGTAAATATTTCTCCATTGATAATTTCATTGAAAGATTTTAACCATAGCTGTTTCCTTGTGAGTAATTATGAAAACTAGTATAACTAATTTAAAGTTAAAAAAAATACTCACATCCCAAAGCTTGTTTTGAAATGCTTCTATACTTGAATCAAATCTTTTGTAGACAATAAAGCTTCTGAGAAATCCCATCAGCGATGGCAATGGAGTACTCTAAAAAAATTTTGAAATAAGAACATAACTAGGAAAAAGAATAAATTTATTTTAGATTAAAAATCTTTATCTAAAATTATTCATTGAACTGAAAACTGTTTATTGGCGGATAGTAAGAGCTATTTTTGGAGAAATACTAGTTGATGGCACATGACACAAACATTCAAATTTAGAACTTTATCGTGCCTTCAAAGAACCAGATGTCATCAAATACATAACAATCCAACGAATTAAATGGGTTGGCCCTGCTAATAGAATGAACAAAGAAGGTTCAACACAGAAAATATTCTTGGACATGCCCTCTGGAACAAGAGCTAGAGGCGAAACCAATCTCAGAAGGGTTAACTGCCTAGAAAGGGATTTCGTGATTTTAAGGAGTGATTAATTGGAAGACCATGGCCAAAAATAGAAAGGCCTGGAGAAACATTCTTGAGAAGGACAGGGCCCGTCCAGGGATGTTATGCCACTGAAGAAGAAGGAAACTCTTTATAAAAGAAAATATTTCATGTATAAGCATTTATCAGTAGGGAAACCATATGGCTGCTAAAAAAAGTTATTTTGGTAGTATTACTATGGTCACGTCCCAGTTCCTAATGTGATTATAATGTAGATGTGTAATTCTGTATAAAGTGGTTAAATCTTGAAAAAGGATACCTCCAGCTATTGGGCCATGTCCATGCAACTCAGACTCCGTAATATACACAATATAAAAAAAATATTGTATCACAGAACACAAACCATGTGCAATCTCAAAGAGCATAAGTAGCTGATCTAAGAGTATGAAATGCATATATTTGGATGGTGCTGACATCTAGTTTAAAATAAACTGTCTCCAGTTACATTGAAAATAGCCTGACACAGCCATCTAGTGTGTAAAATAAGAAATAAAAAAATTCTGGAAAAAGAGATAGATATATTTAAACCTTTTTGGTGCATTACTTTTCAATGTTTTAGACCGGAAATGTCTCGGGCAGGAGAAACAGGAGACAAAAGCTCAACCTGTGATTTTGACGGGACCGAGAGGTAAGGAGTTAAACAAATAACCAGGCTGTATAGGGACTGTATAAGAATTTTAAAAATATCTGTTAGAGAAAATATTAAGTTTTTGAAAAACATCTTTTTCAGATACAGAAAATTTTAAGTTTCTGAAAAACATATTTTTTTGCTCATATATCTGCAAACAATATTTTAATTTCAGAGTTTAAAAAGTTCAGAAATCCTTAGCACACATAAAAGAAGTGTTCCAAATATGTTTAAAAAAAATCTGAGATAAAAACTTATTTGAAGAAACTTTGTTAGTTTGCAACCCCCACTATCTAGCTACATGTTTTATGCAATCAAGCAGTGCATGATGAAATTCCTGATGAAGCTTTAACTAGAAACACAAAAATTTTAAAGATTATAAAATTTTATAAGTTTTCAGAAAACAAGTATTTCTCAAAATAAATAAACAAAAATTCGAATGTGATCAACCAGATTTTTGATAAAATATAATTTTTAAAAAGAAGTACACTCACAGGCAGAAAAATGTGAACACCTTGCCACAATGTTAAAATTTTATGATGGTGAATAGCAATTACAATCAGATTTTCCAGGTCATCTGTGTTAATATTTGGAATTCTCAGTTCAGGAAAAAAAGTCTCAAGCTGTTTTTGGATTGTTTCATTATGGCTAAGACTTGTATAAAGCCACATGAAGAAGCAGGCTTCAATAGGAGCTTCCTAAGACCAATTAATAACAATAAATGTATTAACACACAAGCAAATACATACAATTACTCACTAGAAATGAAATATAATATGCTAGCTTCAAATTGCATTTAAATATAAAGACAAAATTAGATCTAAAGGTTTAGTTATCCTGAATAATGTTAAATGAAATCTAAAGCAATGTCTTGTTTAAAAAAAAAAAAAAAATTCCAACTAAAACTATTGTTTCATACAGAGGTTTTCCTTTTATAAACATTAGAGGATATACAACATTACTTCCTGAGAGTCAGAAAATTTGTTAAGTGTTTAGTGTGCCAAAATACAAAACATGCTGGGCTGAATAGAAAAAGCAATGCTTTGAACAAGTTCAGCATTATATATGCTTCCAATTTATAAAAAAAAAATTAACTCCGAAAGTCATTAATAAGGGACAGCATGCTACAAACACAATGTGTAATAAATGAATGTATATTATTAGTAAACTGAAATAATAATAGATAATCTCTTTATTAATAATAAAAAAACAGCCATTATCATTGATTACAAAATTGGCACAATGTGCTCAATTTTTAAGTTTAATTGCATATTAAGATTAAAAAGGAAACTTTTTTTTCAATAAACAAAATTTATAACTGTCCATTTTTTCAGAAATTGAATTCTAATACTTGGTTATGCATAATAAGGTTATTATTTTGATTTGCCTCTATGTGTATATATATAGAATTTACACAATAACTTTAAATAAGAAAAAAATGAATTTCACATCAATATACTATTTACAAGCAACATAATTAAAGTTATTAATAAGAATAATTGTTAAAATATATTTCAACAGAAAAAACAATACGATGCTTACAGGGTAAGATGCAGCAAGAGCAGCTAATATTGGATTTTGAATCTCGTAACATGTATGCAACAAGCAATCTGATGGGGAGTCAGTTCCATGAGCAAGAAGCAGTTGGCTAAATAAATCTTTCAACACATACGATCCTAAAATAAGATATTAAACAAAGGAAAAAAATAGTAACTTTATAAGGTGTATCCATATCACATTAATACTGATAAATTATAGAGGTTTAATGACTCACGCAAATCAGTGTCTGAAGAGGTAGAGGTTTCTTCACTAGTCACAGATATTTTATCATCATCAGGCTCAGTGTTTTTTTCTGAAAATGGCATATTTTAATTCAACATTCTATCATTAATTGAAGAAGATTACAGTGGAAAAAAAACCATATTGAGTTTTAGAGAATGTGTAAAAATCAGTTTAAAGTGTAAAGAAGCTGCTTTAAAACAACTCTTTCCACTAAGCCTTAGTTACATCGATAGCGAACTAAACTGATGTTATACTTCAACTTAATAAAGATGGCAAAGTTCATCAAGTAGAAGTATGTATGAATTTTTAGAACATATTCTTAAACCTGGAAAACCAAAAGTTTCTAGAATATCATTTAAAATACTTTTCCATTAAGCTCTTCAATAAAAAAATAATAATAATAAATTTCAAATATGAGGAAAAATGTAAGATTATTTTAAATACCAAAAAGTTTTTTTTTACATATTTGAACAACTGCTAAAGAGAACAAATATTTTTAGAACATCATATGCTTAGTTTTTAAAATGTTTTAAAAGTTTAATTTCCACAAAGCACTAAATTTTTGAGACCATAATGCCTAAGCATTAATTTGTCTTTTTTTTTTTTTTTTTNTTTTTTTTTTTTTTTTTTTTTTTTTTAGAAAAGAGGGTTGTTTTGAAGATTTTTTGTCCAGTTAAGCTAAGACTTTATTTCCTGTTTGATAATACCTCTAACAAGGACTGCCAAGTCAATTAAAACTCATTTATGTATCACACATTTTTGTAATATAAATATATAATGTTATATATAATTATTTTTATATATAATATAAATTATTTTTAGTGGAAAAATGAATCTTCAATAAAAAGCAACAAGTGATATTATTTTTTTTATTTCAGTTTATATATTTTTTTCTTCTTTTTTTATTGTTTATCTGATAAAACATTATTATAAATAATTTCTTTATCACTGGACAGGAGCAACCTTTTGGTGGTGAATATGTTATTATTAGTTCTATTTATTTTTTTTACTTATGTATTTATTATTATTATCTTTTTTTTGTTCATTTAATAAAAAGGTTTGTTTTTTAGTAGTCAAAACTTACTAGATTCAACTGGTGCATCCTTGATAACTCCAATACGAGTATACAAAGATCTCCGCATATCTTTCTTCTGAGATTTTAGAGAAGAAACACTCTTGGTCTCATAAGCGACATCGTACAGCAGAGAAGACTTTCGATGAAGAGAGTGAAATATATGATAAGAGATGCAAGAGTTAGAAAATCGAGAAGCAGCTTTCAGGACCTAGAAAAATTATGGTTAATATCAATAATTTAGAAATTTTATGAAGAAACTGAAGAATTAAGGATATCAATTATTCTCTAATTAATTAATTACTAATTAATTAGATTAATGAATGCCTAATTAATTAAACAAATTTAAAAAACAAAGTTATCAGAAAATTAGTGTTTAAAAAAAGTTTATTGATGCAATGAGGGGAGTGGAAACAATTTTGAGTCTTGAGAAGTATGGTCAATTTTAACAATGTTGAATTACAGTCAATGCTATATAAAACGGCTTCTGACATCTAAAGCAGAATGGGAGGTGAAGTGGAAGATTTTAGTATTGTTAGTGCACAAAAATACCGTAAATAATTACTCATAATTTAAAAATACTAGAATAATTTAGATAAAACAATGCTATTTTTTAATAACAGGGTGCGTAGTCAAATTTTTCAGCAAAAAATAATCACCTTTTAAGTACTTTTTAAGCACTCAAAAAAAATTTTAAGCACTTTATAAAAATATTATAATTAGTATACGCCAACTAGTAATTTTTTTCCCCTTCATATTGTTGAAAGTTCGTCATATATTAATAAAATGCAAAATAGTTTTCTAAGTTACATGTTCATGATAAAATAACTAGTTTCTGACAAAGAATTATATTAGCCACCATAAAAACAATTTATGCACAGTTTTAAATACATTCAATATTGATGAATCATTCAATTTTTTAAATTTATAATTCCTTTACAAAATTATGTAAAACATTTTATTCAAAATTATAAATAATTAATTTAACTATTATTTAAAAAGTTTATCTCTCTTGCAAAATGCAGCAGAGTTGCTCATGAGAATGCATGACTCCTGAAATTCATACTCTACAGAACGATGGTACGTCGAAATAGATTGTGGTTAAATGAATTATGAAAACGTTGAATAGAACAATGTGAAAACCACGCTTTTTGAGTAATTCAAAGCAAAAATTGATATGGTAAAGAAAAGAATCTCATTTTGGAAAAAGGAAAATTAAGCACTTTTTAAAAACACCTCATGAAAAAAGCACCTTTAAGGGCTTTTAAAAAACGAATGTCGAAAATAAGCACCTTTAAGCACTTTTTAAAAACGCTACACACCCTGAATAAGAATCAAGAAAGTAACAAAATGATTGAAAAAACACAACAGGATTTTTTTTAGTTAATATAGATATATAAAGTTCAATTTCAAAATAATACATAAAAGGTGAGATATGCATTTAAAATAATTAACTTGCTCTGAAAAGCTATTTTTGTAAAATAACACAAGTCGAAGTAAATGGAAAGAATGCATGTTTTAATTCAAAAGTAAACTGCCCAAGGATACAAACTGGTTTTCAAAATAGTAAACAAAATACAATTTTTTAAATAAACAAGAAAACTATAATAAACATATTTATTGTGTCCCGTGAAAAGAAATTTATAAAGATTGTGAATGCATGTTTTAAATTTAAGGAATGCTTTGGGGACTTTTTGCCCCTTTAATCATATACTCTTTTGATTTAATGTGAAGTAATACTTATTTCACAAACTTTTTGACCACAGATCATGACCATCAAGTAGAAAAATCTAAGGCATTATGCTTTCTTCATCTAAAGAGAATTCAAGATGTTTCCCATTTCATATGCAGTGACATAAAAAAAATAGTGTTTTTAATAATTTCTTTGAAAATTTTGTTAAATCAATTGACTTATTTTTAGTGGAAGCATTTTGGTTTGAAAGTGCTAAAAATGTTTGACACTTATTTAGGAAGTGAATTTCATGGAAATAAAAAGAATAAAACAAAAACTTTGGTTGCTACATTAGAATAGATGGTTCAGAGTGAATGTTTTACTAGGCATTAAAATAGGATTGTGTCTAAGGGCTTTCAAATGAAATTTAATGCATCAAACATTGTAATGGTTAAATCGCTGTAATAGGGGTCATACTAAAGAGAGTTTATTACAAAAGAATTCTAAATTGAAAAAAAAAAAATCAAGAGCTACAAAAATAATGCAGAATACTAACTTGTTCCTTAGGTATTTGGAAAATTTGAGCAAACACTAAAAATTGCAGCCATTTATTTTGCTTGGCACATTCATATAAATAATGATTCCCAGCTTCAACTTCATATAAGTGGCTAATTGTCATTGCAGGCATCCATAATATGACATCTTGAAATAAAGAACTGAAATAAAGATATACTTTCAGCTACAGAATTCAAGACTTGAAAATACTGTTCTACAAATAAATATGTTGTACAAATAAATATATAATATTATATTTAAAGAAGTTAAATATTTTAAGATTACTTCATTACCACTGGAATAAAAAATCTACAGAACTTTGTAACCAACTAAGACTAAGTGCATATTGAAAAAAACTTCAATAAATTCTATATTTTCAGCCTATTTTGAGATATGATGAGCACGAAGATTCAGCTAAACTGGCTCTTAAAATTAAGAAATTAAAATATGAATTTCAAAATTTTCTAATTTTGTAAATTTAAGAATATCCTTAAAAGAACCAGTAGCTAAACAAATAAAAAAAAATTAAATTACAACAATTCTCAATGAATTACCAAATTTTTCTTCACAATACTGGTATGCTGATGATGGTGTTATAGTTGTCAAAGGCAAAACTGCAAAACAGTCTCTGAAATTATGAATGGTGTACTGCTAGAAGTAGCTAGATGCTCTGAATCTGGCTTATCAGTAAACCCAAAAAAAGCGCCTTAATCTTGGTGATGTGCATTACCTAGTTCGTTTAGATCTTACTGAGAAAGTCAAGTTTCTCTTTCTTTTCTTTGACTTCAAACTTTACTGGGGTTACCATCTTGAATACTGCGTCCGCAGGGCTAACAAGATATTTTTGTCTAGCAGAAATGTGAAATTTGAAATGTGAAAACGTGAAATTTATGCCCCAAGATAGTTTACTGGATTTACTCAATGATCATTATCGTATAATCACATATGGCATCATTATCTGGTGGTCTAGGATTTAATTGAGCTCCGTCAGGTCTGGATTTAAGAGACTGCAAAGAATGGTCTGTGTAGCCTCGTCAGGCTGTCTTAGGACCACAACCACGGCTGCGCTTGAGAGCTTACTTGGGCTCCTTAAACTATATCTGTGCATTGAAACTGAAACTCAGACATGCATGAAATGCTTTATGCACCTTGGTTCATGGAAAGAATTCTCTAATATACCTAGAGATTATATGTCACAAAGATATGCTTTGCATAAGTCTTTCAAGATCCATTTTTTTTCCAGAAATGAATGGCTCAAATGTCCTTGGTGTCTTAAGGACAGTTGTCTGGTATGGTACACTGACGGATCAAGGCTTGGTCTTAAATCAGAGACAGGTATTTACTGTTCCAATGATGATACCAAACTTCACTTTCCTCTTTGTAGCTATGCTACTGTTTTTCCGGCTGAAGTCTATAATATCATCTTGTACTGCAAGGGTGTGTCTAGACATACTTATTATCTAAATATACTTAATTACATCTACACTGACAGTCAGGCTGCTCTTCTATCACTAACAAGTTGTAAATTCACCTCTTATTTCATGTGGGAGTGCTTCTCAGTCGTTCGCAACCTTTCTACTCATAACAAGGTATACCTACACTGGATTCCTGGGCATATGAGTATTCCTGCTAATGAGCTGGCAGATGAATTAGCAAAGGCTGGCTCCAGTGTGATTTTCTGTGGTCCTGAACTAGCTTTGGGAATTTCTTCCACATTCTTCAGGACATCTATTTTCTAGCTCTAGTAAGCAAGATTGTCTATGAGCAATGACTTAACTAGGAGGGTCACATAAGCTAAGCAGTTAAATTGTAACTGTCGCGGTGTGTGTCAAAAACAGCTCCTTAAGCTAAACATGAATAGCTTAAGGAAGGTCATTGGTCATTTGACTGGTCACTGCACCCTCAGGAGACCCTTTTGCATTATGGGTATTGCACTCGATCCTCTTTGTCGTGGTTGTGATCTAGAGGAGGAGACTTCACAACATATTCTTTGTGAGTGAGAGGTCTGTTTTGCTCAAAGATTTGAGTACCTGTGACAACATTGTGTTAAGGTCTAGGAACTACAGGATACTCCTGTCAGGTTACTGAACTTTGTATCAGGTATAAAACTTTTCTGCTAGTCATGATCTAGGGCTTTGGGTTCATTTGACCACTGGTCAATGAGCCTTGCTCCTCAGAGCTGCCCAAATTCCAAGACTAATATTGTGATAACTTTTAAAAAATTAGTTACAAATGAATCTATAAGTCTCATGCAAAGATGCCAACTTGCTCCGGACAGCAAATATATATTTTAAAGTGATAGTTTATCAATTGTGATTCTTGGTTTGATACATTCAATTTAGTAGATTTTTATCCACTACTTTTTCTAAATAATTTGTTGGTCTATACAATACACCACTTTATAGTACTCATGTCATGCCATACCTTTTAAAAGGCAAGCAAAAATAGTCAAATATTTGAAAAATTTACTTGCAGTTATTTACCGTTTTTTTAAAAATTATTTTGGCGTGTCCGGAGCAGTTGGCATCTCTGCTCATGACAGATAAAGGGATAAAAAATTACTCAATTATAAAAACTTAGATTAGGACCTTATTTATTTGTCGGTCACTTTACATCAAGAGTAACTGCAGTAAAATGAAATTCTAAAAAACAAACCACCAAAAACTATAAATATAACTTACTCAGCATCACAATTGAAAGGATTCCACTTGTTTAAAATTATGTTTTCTAGTTCTGACACTAAAGAGAGTGCATGAGTTTTGTCTATGTAAGCTTGTTTAAATTTTCTTCCTAAATATTATAAGAAAAGCACATCAGAAAACTATCACAATATCATTAAAAATGAATTTTATAACAGCTAATATTATATTTTCTAATTCTGACACTAAAGACAGTGCATGAGCTTTGTCCGTGCAATCTTGTTTAAACTTTCTTCCTAAATATTATTAAAAAAAGGACAATAGAGAAATATCAACATTTATTTATGTACAGAGTATAAAAAACATTGTTTTTTATTGTGCCAAATACATTGATTAAATAAAGTTGATACTTAAACCTAATATTGTGTAGTTTGATTAGAAAGGTATGCATTTTGCAGCCCCTTCCCTAGCATCTAAAACCCTGCTATGTACTACTCTTTCATTTGAATAACATAGGGAAAATTTGTTTTTTGATTCAGGAAAGTTAAAAAAATAAAAAGCTGTGGCTAATGCTCTGAGGGTTAAAAGTGTACATTTTATTTAAAAAAAGAATTCAACCAAAAATTTCTGTTTGTGCATATATCAAATTTATAAGACTTCTCACTCATTTAAATAAAAATTTTTTTTTGATTAATTTGAATGTTTAAGCTATTTCCTATGAAAATTAGCAAAAGTTTCAACATACAATAAGTAGGAAAGTCATAAGCATTTGCAACACAATTAAGTTAATCGCTAATAAACAATACTTTAAGTGTCAATTGTTCTTGGGTTTATTTTTAGAATTACATTCAGATCAATAACAATCAAAATAAAGGCAAGTGACTTTTGGTTAGACAGTTGAAAAATTACAAAACATTAAATTGGAGCAAATGTATTAATTTTGATTATTTGTACAATGAAATTATTTTTAATTTCAGAATAATTTCTAATTTTTCCAAAATTACAAAAAATGCATAAAATATAGATTTTTCAATTGGTTTTCAAATATTTTCTCTAGTGTTCTGAAATTGAGTATTAAATCTATGGAAACTGTGAAAAATTCATTACCAAATTTGAGAAGCAATGAACTAAAAACAGTGCAAATTATAGAAATTTTTTAATTAACATATTTGAGTATTTCTTCGTTATGAAACAAAATTTCTTTATAAAAATTCATTTTTATTACAAAGTCAGTATATGTACTGAATAATTACGAAACAAAATAAAATAAAAACTGGCTATTTATTCTTTTAAACAGTAGTAATAATCTGAATAACATTTACAAACCTATATCAGGAAAACTCTTATCATAATCTGAATCTCCTTCCAAAATCCGAGAATCGTGCAACATATTTGCGGCAATCAAAGAAGCTCTGAGAGGCAAAGAATCTTGTCCAAGCAATTCAATGAAAGCTATACAAGATGCACAAATATCCAATGCTTTATAATTTGTCAGTGCATAATCAATAACTTCCCTACAAGTGGCACGCACCCTGAAAATATTAATAATATATTATCATTAAATAAGTTTAAAAATTGCGGATAGATGTTAAATTTTTTTGAAAATTCAGACTGTATAGTTAAAGAGCTTAATAAGATCTGGTAAGTGACATTTTGGAAACATTTAATTTTCCTAGTCTTATAAATGTTATGGCTAGTTGTGGGTAAATTTACTTTTCTGCTTATCTCCATACATTAATCTTATCTGCTGATATTATTCTGTTCATCTTGCAGCAGTTTTTACAAGAAAAAGCTTTTGTGCAAATAGATTCTTCCTGCTTCCATACATTATGATACTGATATTGACCAATTAGCTAATTTATCACTAAACATATTCTTTAAGTTATCTCATCAAGAGCAAATAAAGAAAGAACAATAAGTGAGAAATGTGCAACAGAGATTAATTTCAACTTAACAATTGGCATAATATTTTATCAGAAAATAATTTGAAATTAACAAATTAAAGTGGAACAGGCAGATATTGGAAGGAACTGCGTCACTCCAGAAAAGAAGAGAACCCCCAAAGGTAAAAACTTACCTTTCACACATCTTTTTACAATCTATTCAAATCGTTCTTTTTATATTCATTTCAATTAACAATCAATTCAATTTCATCAAAAATCAATTTTTTGAAATCAACTTAATGAGAAAAATGAATGTGAAATATTCATTACATGGACTTCCTTTCATTAAAAATATTTTTTATAAAATGTATATGGAATTTGAAGAATTGTATTTATGTATTTTTTTAAAATATGGAATTTAATGTAAAATGTGCATACACCATAAAGTAAACATTATGTTTCATATTGGAAAAAACACCTCTTTGATTATGCAAATTTCAAAGTTTTTATATTAAAAATATATAAATATGTATCAGTGTCAGAAATTCTAATAAAATAAAAACATTTCTTAACGTAAAATTTAAAAAAATAACTATGCATAATTAAATATTAAAGAAAACAATATTACAAAATCATTATTTTTATAGCAATAAAAATATAATTTTAAACATAAAATAGGACCAACCGTGAAAGTGAAAGTCCAGTTTCTAAAATGACCTCTTGAGCAAAAAATTTTAAATAAGAATAATTAGGGCGACCTTCCATTAAATAATACAAGTAAGTCAACTCCTTTTTCAAACCAAACTGTTCTGACAAACTTTGAAGAGAAAAATGTGGCAATTCATTTTGAGAGTCTGAAATATTAATGAAAAAGAAATTAAACAAAAAATATTCATAATAATTAAAATATTTTTATACAATAGAAGATCTTTATAAAACAAACCTTGAAATATGAGGCTTTTTGGATTATATAGAATACAGTGATATATAAATCATCTCACTTATCTTTTAACTTACCTACTAAATATGACAATATTAGTCTGGAACAGATCCATAGTATAATACTTTGAAATAATTTTTAGAAACAAATATTTCAAAATATGCATATTATTATTTACAAAAAAAAAATTAATTTTCAGAAGCATTAGAAATAGAAACAAGCAAATTAATCAATTTTGGTTTGTTTGGCTTTTGAAATTTTAACCTCTTAACAAATAGTAAATTTTAACCTCTTAACTGTAAAAAGTTAACAGTTCTTTCTTAGTTAAAGAAATTTCTTTGCTGCGAATTTCATTGTTTACTCTCACAAAGCTAGAGTGGTTCATAGATATTTGCAGTATATAAGTCTTCTATATCTATCTATCTAATCGTTATATATATAT